CAAAACCAATTTTCACCTATCTGTGGTTCAGCTGTGATGGCTTTGGCTGCTCTTACTAGGGTTGCTTAAACATCTGGCGTTAGCTGGCAGTAAGCTGGTAGTTGAACAGTCCAGGAGGGGCTCAACTGAAATGACTCATGTCTGCATCCTCAAGTAGGCTAGCGTGAGCTTGTTCCCATGGCCATGCCCGGGTTCCAACGGAAGTGTGAAAGATCAGTGAAAGCATCAGCCCCACCCCTGGCATAGCATAGCGCAGAATAAGAATGGATATTAACCTAGAAGATGACAAAAATAAAATCACCACCACATGGCCAATGTGTGTGCTTCCTTTATGAAAATTTTTCGTAAATAGCGCTGACATTCATTTTTCCCCAAAGGTCTCAGGGGATCTCGATATATCTTGTTATAGATTCATTGGTGAGCTCTTTGGGGATATGTTCTTAACTATAAATCTTCCAGGAGGTACTTTCATTCAAGTCACATTTCTTCATGATTTTTAACAAGGTGAATATTTTCGTTTATCAAATTTGATGTTGTGACTAAGAAATAATTTATACTCTTCTGAACCCGTGAATATCATTCTAACATTTGTTAGTAGCAAAATATTAGAAATACTGGGCACCGGTGGCTCACACCTGTAATCCTAGCTACTCAGGAGGCTGAGATCTAAGGATCCTGGTTCAAAGCCAGCCTGGGCAGGAAAGTCCATGAGACACTTATCTCCAATAAACCACTTGGAAAACTAGAAGTGGTGCAGCGGCTCAAGTGATACAGTGCTAGCCTTGAGCTGAAGAGCTGTGGGACAGTGTTCAAGCTCAGAGTTCAAGCTTCATAACTGACAAAAAAAATTAGAAACAATGAAGGAATAAACTTATGAGAATCCTTATGATGAATTATTTCATCTTCTTTTTATGCTATATACTTCTTAAATAATATTTTCGTATCTTTTTTTCAGATGTAACCTTGATTCTTTTTTTAAATACTTTTTTATTGTGAAAATACTGTACAGAGGGTTTACAGTTACATGAGCAAGGTAATGAGTACATTTCTTATCAAGCATTGTTGCCTCCTCCTTTGTTTTTCTCCTAGCATCCCTTCCCTCCCACCTCCACAACTACACTCCCTCCCTCCCCACTAAATTGTAAAGTTCATTTTTCAACATAGTATCTTGTGCATCTCATTGTTACAATGGGTCAACCTGTGTCCCTATGTAAGCATTTTAAGTAGTTGTACCATTCAAAAAAATCTATTTGTAAGTACAATGCATCTAGAGCCATGTCATCCCTTTCATCATTCTCCCCATCCTTCTCAGCCCAACCCTTCCCCTCAGTTTTCCTAATTTCTTTGGATATACATCAAGTAGTATGATTGCTTTCTCCCACCTTCCTCTCTTCATACATCTACCTCCCCTCCCCTTAACCTCTCCTGACACTTTTCAAGTTCCAGTTGTCTGGTATTCATTTTGTTAGATTTTTAGTATTTCTAAGGAATTACACCATTTGTAATTTCCCCTGCAAATACCATACTTCCATTAATTTATGTATATTTGTGTGCAAACTTAATATGTGTTTACTTATATATTAATAAATTAATTCTAGCTTCCACATATGAGAAATATATTCTTCCTTTGTCTGTCTGAGCCTGACTTGCTTCACTTAACATAAATGATGACAGGGGCAGTGAAACCCACTAGATACTATGTTGGAAATGAACTATACAACTTTGAAGGGAAGGAAGTCAGGAGGGGAAAAACTGGCAGAGAATGAGGGAAGGGGTGACACTGTCCAAAACGAAATGTACTCAACACTTCACTCATGTAACTAACCACTCTGTACATCACCTTTATAACAAAAGAAAAGATTAAAAGAACTTTCTAGGAATATCTAACAACTAAAAAGAATAATAAATGATGAAATGGGAAGATAATCACAATTTAATTTCTTATATATTCACTTTATTTTAGTTTAGTTTTTATAAAGTAGTCACAGTGAATTAGTCACAGTCAAAGCCCTCAGGCTATCCACAATTTCAAAACTTGTAGTAAGCCTAAAGTTTCTTTTTTTTATAAAAAATCTTACTTTCCTTATTTCACAATTTAATTTTAATGAAATTAATATATGGTGAAACAAAATATAAATGTAATTCAGGTATCATATTTTATAGCTAATATTAGAAATATTTTTAAGTCTTGAAAAGAGATTAGCACTTATTAACACTTTTTATCTTTGGATTGCAAGAATATTGTAGCTTTTATTTTCATTTGAAACTCTTAGACATCTAAAGCCTTTATAGTGGACTCATTTAAATTATATTATCAGAAAAAAATATTTTAAAATTTTCCCTATTTGATAATTTTCCTTAGAATTAAACTATTGCTAACATTTTCTTCTACTTGTTTTTAAGATTGTAGAATTTCCATTCTGGTTTGATGGCATCTGGAATATTATTGTAACAAGAGGGAGAATGTATCTGCCATTATTAAGGGAGCTTGATTTTAATAATTGATTTATAAATATTTCCCTCTTTAAAGTTTTTCTTGCAGTTGAGTGTGGTGACTCACACTTAGAATCCTAGCCCTCGTGAACCGCAGGCAGCAGGATTGTAAGTTAGAAACCCTATCTTAAAAAATAAAAATACCGGGGCTGTGAAGGTGGCTCAGTGGTAGAGCGCTTGCCTTGCATGCATGAGGCCCTGGGTTTGATTCCTCAGCACCATATATGCAAAAAGAAAAAAGCCAAAAGTGGCACTGTGGTTCAAGTGGTAGAGCACTAGCCTTGAGCTGAAGAGCTGAGGGGCAGTGCCCAGGACCAGGGTTCAGGCCCCATGACCAGACCCAAAAAATAAAAATAAAAAAGTAAAAAAAAATACCTGAAACTATTGTCAACATGTATTTTCTTTTCTTGATTTTCTCTTTTGGAAGTTCTAGGATCGCACTCAGTGTCTCATACATGTCAAGCAAACTCAACCACAACCACATCCTCAGCCCTATATTTTCTTTCTCTATTGTATGCCCAAAAGAAAAATAGAGCTTTCTACTGTCTTTAGATCAACAGTGTCAACACTAAAAGTTGATTTGAAAGGATGAAGAGCTATATCAGAGGATTAGAAAGCAAGGAAAATTTTCATCTCAAATATTGTTGCCATTACTCAACAAGGAGCTTATCATTAACTACATTCATATTACCACTGACCATTTGTTGTTAAAACTCTTACTAGCACTAAACTGTATGCCTCACAAAGTGACATGTGGAATGTTTAAGTCACTAGCTGGAGTGCTAGAAGGCACCTTCCAACAACACAATAAGTAAGCTTTTCCTAAAGGCATAGAGAATGTGCAAATGAGTAACTCACCTGTCAGACACAATGTCTACTAGAGTTACGGTGATAAAGGTAACTACAAATCCTTGATTCACCTCCTGCTGACAAGTATACTCTATTTTCTTTTGAATCTGAGTAGTTTGTGCCACTAATTGGACATTGGAATATGATAGAAGAGACATGCTTGTCTTGGGCTTCTAGTCTTAAAAGACTGGTAACTTCTAAATACTGTCTTGGAACACTCACTCTTGGAAGCCAACTGCCAGGCTGCAAGAATCCCAAGAATACATACACATATTGCTCTAGTGGAAACTTGTAGCTTGATTTCCAGTCAACAGAAGATCATCTGCAGCCATGTGACTGAACCATTTTGGAACTAAACTAGTCATATTTTTAGAGGGCTCCAGACTTTGACACTATCTGTCTCTGGTTATTTTATTTAGTGTTATTAATCACTATTATTATCATCATTATGTAGTTGTACAAAGCAGTTGTCTAAAAGAGCAGTTTATGAATACAATATATCTTGCAACATTCTTACCCATCTCTCCCTTCTCAAGCCCTCCCTCATTCTTCTTAATTTTGTAAAATATGCATTGGTTTCTTGTCTGCATTTTCCACTTTCACTTAAATGAAGTATCCCAAGCCAGTTCTAGCCCACAGAGCTCTGACCCCACACAACTGTGATCATAAGTTGTAACTTTAATCTGCTAAATTTAGGGATGACTTAATAAACACTCATTTAAAAATGAATGAGCCAGTACTTGTTGCACTTGAAACAAATTTAAAAATGCTTATAGGGAATGGATGATAACATAAGATCTCTATAGATCTACTTTTGCAACTCTAATGGAGCAATAAAGAGAAGAATTTATGATACATATTGTTGAGTCATGTATGAATGCAAGTAATCAAATATACCATGGAAAAAATAAAGTTACATTATGCTTGGAATTGATGAGAGGCTGCCATGCAGATGACACTTTACCATAGCTGTCGAAATATGAATTTTAGTTATTTATTTTGTTTTTGCAAGTCCTGGGCTTGAACTCAGGCTTTGGTGCTGTCCCAGAGTTTATTCTTAAAGGCTGGCGCTCTACCACTTGAGCCACAGCACCACTTCTAGGCTTTTTTGAGTAGGTTTATTGGAGATGAATCTCATGGACTTTTCCTGCCTGGGTTGGCTTTGAATTGCGATCCTCAGATCTCAGCCCCCTGGGTAGTTAGACTTATAGGCCTGAGCCCCTGGCACCTGGTAAGTATATGAATTATTATATCACATTTTTTCCTTCCTTTCTTCTTTCTGCCTCCACTTTTCATATTGCTTTCAGTCTATTCCACTTGACTTCAGCAGGAAACCAGTGTCTGTCTATAACTTCTCATGCCTTGCAGAAAGAGGCTGCTCAAGCTGATATCCAAATAGATAAATGGAGGTCAGGTAAGGTGAGGGTAGCTCTGGGCAGGATTCCACCCACCAAAGCCCATATCCCACTTTACTCATTGGTGTTCTCTGCTTGATGAGAAATGGGAAGAGGGAAATAGTCTCGTCCTTACAAAAGAGTGCATTTTTATGTATTTTTAAAAAAATCTATAGCCACAAAACAGTAGATGTTTAAATCTTTCATAACTCAAAAATAAAGCTTAAGTAAGATTCAGGGGTGTTTTATCACTTTTATTTTCAGGCATTCCAAAGTTGATTACAGCTGACATGGTTAAAGAAGATGCTGCTGTGATTGATGTGGGCATCAACTATGTTCAAGATCCTGTGACAGGGAAGACAAAATTAGTGGGAGATGTGGACTTTGAAGGTAAGAAATCAAATCTTTTTTGGCAACTGAAGAGTTAAAAAATGACTCAACCTCATATACTTTGATAGTAGAAATGTTCTATCACCTAGTGGGGATATTATTAAGGTATTAATCATCTTTTTCTCCTGTAGGAAGAGTTTAATCATGCTTACATCATCCTCCCCATTTCTTCCTTCCTTCCTCCTATTCCCTCCCTCTTTTTCTTTATTTCTTCTCTCTGTTCCTTCTGCTCTCCTTTTCCCCTCTTTTCTCTCTGTCTTCCCTCTCCCTGCCTCCATTCTTTCTTTCCTTTTTATCCTCCCTCTCTTCTAATTAGGTTTTAAGGTCAAATATCTTAGAGCAATTGTGTGTGGCGGGGGAGCATGCACAATGGCCTTGAACTCGGGATTCAGGGCCTGGGCACTCTCCTTGAACTATTTTTTCCCCCACGCATGACTAGCGTACTTTACCATTTGAGCCACTTTCCAGCTTTGTCTGGTAGCTAATTAGAGCTAAGAGTCTCACAGACTTTTTTTTCCCTTTTGTGGGGGGGAGGGGGTCAGTTGTGAGGCTTGAACTTTGGGCCTGGCGCTGTCTCTCAGCTCTTCAGCTCAAGGCTAGTGCTCTACCACTTGAACCACAATCCTCAGATCTCAGCCTCCTGAGTAGCTGGGATTACAGGTGTGAGCCATCAGCGCCTGGCTTTCTCACAGACTTTTCTACCTGGCTGGCTTTGAACCACAATCCTCAGATCTCAGCCTTGTTTGTTAGATATGATCAGTATGATCAAAATTATTTCTGGGTAGCTAGGATTGCAGGTGTGAGCCATCAGTGCTCAGCTTATAGCAATTTTTAATGAAAGTGTCCATCTGTGCATTATTTTGACCTTCTGAAAAGTCATCACATACTAACTATACTTACACATTTCTGCTCTTTACTCAGCCCTTCACTCTTACAGCCAGAAGGTATTTTTGGAATGCATTGCTAACTTGAATCATGTTTTAGATCTAAACAATGGTCTGAATAACTGAAGTTACATTCTTCACTTGTGTTTTATATTTCATTTTTTTGTTTGTTTACTTGTCCTGAGGCTTGAACTCAGGACCTAGGCACTGTCCCTGAGCTTTTGTAGGGCTAGTGGTCTACCAATTGGACCGTGGCTCTACTTCCACCTTTTATTTCAGTTGAGTGTCTCACAGACTTTCCTGCCTCCTTCTGGCTTCAAACTGTTATCCTCAGATCTCAGCCTTCTGAATAGTGAGGATTGCAGGCATGAGCCACCAGCACCAGCACCTGGTTTCACTTGTGTTTTAAAGGGAATGAATGGAACTAGGTTAATATTTCTATGGTCAATGAAGGATTTAAGAAAGCCAATTATAAAACAAAGTTCTGACTCCATGACTTTTCTTTATCCCGCAAGAGATAGATCTCTAGGTGAGTGACTCCCTAAACCAATTTTACTTCCAAGATCTTCATTAGATTCTTTCCTGTACTTATATTAGTAGAATAATAGGACTCTCAGATGTCTATAAAGATACAAGTAAAATGACTGGAGACATTTTCATATAGAAAATACTTTATGTCTATGACTGATCACATGAACAAGCAAGCCAGCCCATATGAAGACTTACTAGTATCATTACAAATAGAAAGGAATAGATGATAAAATTTTTAAATTTCAGATTTTAATTTTCACTCAGAACCTGGTTATCACCTGATATTTACCCAAGTCCTGACATGATGTTGAATAAAATTAAAAGCTTAGACAGTTGGAGTTGTCCCAAGGTATTGGTAACCTATATGTAAAATTCTGGGACATAACTGAGAGCAGGTACAGGCAAGCAATTTGAGCCTGACAATAAAATAAAAAATAAATCCATGAACACAAATATGCACTAGTGTGTTCTAGGGACAGAATGGCGAATAGGAACAAAGCATGGATGTACCTTGTTGAAGAATACACTTCTGCCCTTATAGGCTTTAATACCTAGAGTCTCTTGATGTGCTTGAAATTCTAGTCTATCAGTGTTGGTTCTCTGCGTGAAAATTTGTGTCTGCATCTCTCTCTTTTTCTTAATTTTTTTTTGGTTGTGGATCTTGAATTCTGGGCCTGAGCTCTGTCCCTCAGCTCTTCAGCTCAAGGCTAGCACTCTACCACTTGAACTCCAGCACCACTTCTGGTTTTCTGAGTGGTTTATTGGAGACTTTCCTGCCTGGGCTGGCTTTGAACCAAGATCCTCAGATCTCAGCCTCCTGAGTAGCTAGGATTACAGGCGTGAGCCACCGGGTCCCAGCTTCTCTCTTTCTTTCTCTGTGTATGTGCTAAATTCTTATGAAATGACCCATTTTTATTCAGTCAATAAATTATTTTATATCAGTAATTTATTTGAATGTCCCAACTCAAATGAGTAAAGATGCGTTTCATTTTAAATCCTAGATCAGTATTTTGTTTTGCACTTTCGTTTTATTTCTTGATAACATTATTGTAAAATCACCATACACTTATAATTCACTGGTGAGGGGATATTGATGGCATGAGATACCCAGCTGAAGGAAAAAAACAAAAAACAAAACCAGGAGCAGCTCACAACCTTGACATGGTTTGTGGGGCAGGCTTATCTAGCAATACACAACAGTTTTTAACATTCTTCTGTCATGGGTATTTCAGTGGGCTCAGATCATGTCCTTGGTTTCTTATTTTTATCAATGATGCTTTTTTGCTCATGAAAAACACCCTGAAAACATTTTTTTCAAACTGAGCATTTTGGAGTGGTCATGAATGCTTATTGATGTGAATACGTATTTGCTCAACTTACATAAAGCTCAACTTGGTGAATATCCATTAAATCAAGTTGTAGTTCTTTATTAACAAAGTATATAAGAAAAAGGAACATGGCAAAAAGAAATAAAGCTGTAAGATAAATGGGAAGAATACTAGCTGGTAAAACTGCTGAGGTTATTTTAGAGAGAGAACTATTGATGTCTTCCTATGCCTAACTGATGCATTAAGTTTTATCATAGGAAAATAAGTATAGGAACAAAATGTTCAGTTCAGCACTGTGTATAGGTATCTTGAAATGTATTCCGTACAGATAAAAGGGAAAGGGTTATTATATGTTAGTGTTTTATTGTTTGGTCTGTATGTTCAACAGAATATTACCGAATGTTCATGTATAAAGCACAGAAACTTTTGGAAGGAAGTCCCAATATTCAAGTTTGCTGATCCTATAATGAATATAGACAGCTGTTTATTAGTATTATCTATCAATTTTCTTGGCTATCCTGCTAGTGCATGGAGCCAAAGCACCGAGGAAGATCACACTATATAAATAAGGCCTTTCCGGTGATGCGGTGACTCAGTCATCCATAGAAGCTGGCAAGTGATAGGTTTTGACATGTTGCTTTTCAGGTTGTTCATCACGACTTAACCTGAGGTGAGGGATGGTCCCCCAGCCGAAAGGGAGGGACTTGAACTTGGATTATGCCACAAAACTCCTAGGTAGCACTGGGCTGCAAATTGCCACAGGGAAAATGTGGCTGCTTTGTGAGTATCGGTGAAAGTTTCACTATAACTCCTGCCAAGAAAAACAAAACGGATGTCGGTAGAATCAAATGCTGAAGTTAATTGTCCTACAGAGAAGTCTGGCTCATTAATAAAGGGAACTGAGCCACCCACATGAAGTAGTTTGCATTGATGAGAAGGCTTTATTGACATAAATGAACAAAGTAGATGTGACAAAAAGGTGTACCAAGGGAAGTGATGCTGTGGTGAACTTCACACTAGACCAACTTTCAGAGATAACTTATGACCTGAAAGGGCAAGATTAAAAATAAATAAGTAAATAAAAGTGATGGACTAATTAAAAAAATTTAGAAGCCATTGCAAATTGTAAAAGGATCGAGTACTTAACCAAGGATAGAAAAGACTCTCCAAATAAGTTGCACGATGATAAGCCGAGCACTAGTCAAGATATTCTTAATAGGATAAGAAATAAGAAACTAGTTCTCCATGCTCCTAAAGGTCTTAAAATATGTGCCTCTTGCCAGGCTCTGATGGCTCACACCTGCAATCCTAGCTACTCAGGAGGCTGAGATCTGAGGATTGTGGCTCAAAGCCAGCCCAAGCAGGAAAGACTATGGGACTCTTAATAATGTCCAATAAACCACTCAGAAAACTGGAAGTGGCATTGTGGCTCAAGTGGTAGAGTGCTTGCCTTGAGCTGAAGAGATGAGAGACAGCACCCAGGCCCAGAATTCAAGACCCACGACCAACAAAATATAAAATAAGATAAATAAGTTACTCTTAATAAACAGATAGTTTTGGAGGTACTAGAGATTGAACTCAGAGCTTCACACTTGCTAAAACAGGCAAATCTACCCGCCTGAGCCACACCACCAGTCCTTATAATATTAATTTTAGGAGAAGATCTCACATAATGGCTAGGCTGGCCAAGGTTGCAATCCTCCTCTTCCTGCTTCCCTGTATCACTGGAATGACTGACATGTACCACTGCACCCACCCAGTTAAGATACTTTGTGAACTTTTTTTCACAATGATCCTATGAGCTGTGCCTCCCAAGTAGTTAGGATTTCAGGCGTGGACCATCGTACCCAATCGTTTTATCATTATTTTCAATTCCTTGTGTATTTATAAGTCAAGGTAAGAGACTTATCATTTTGACTTTTTTAAAGATTGAATCATGATCTTTAAAAAAATATAAGCCAGATATACACATTAGAAAACTGATGTTAGATCATTATATATCACCAAAATCAACTCCAAATGGATCAAAGACCTCAAAGTAAGAGCAGATACCCTGAAAATGTTACAGGGAGGGATTGGGCCTATGCTAGGGTTCCTTGACACAGGTTGAAACATTCTAAATAAAGATCCAGAATCACAGCAAATTAAAGAAAGCTTAGATAAATCAGATTGCATTACACTGCAAAGGACATAGCTAGCAATATTAATAGAAAGCCCATAGATTGGGAGATCTTCACTACTTTTACAACAGGCAAGG